ATTCATTTGTCTCCCAGGTCTGTCACTGCTGGTGTCCGCCCTTTTCCATTGGCCATGTAGCATTTCTATTCATTTGTCTCCCAGGTCTTTCGTAGCATTTCTATTCGTTTGTCTCCCAGGTCTGTCGCTGCTGGTGTCCGCTGTCACTGGTGGTGTCCGCCCATTTCTATTCATCTGTCTCCCAGGTCTGTCACTGCTGGCGTCCGCCCTTTTCCGCTCACCCATGTAGCATCTCTATTCATTTGTCTCCCAGGTCTGTCGCTGCTGGTGTCCGCCCTTTTCCATTGGCCATGTAGCATTGCTGTTCATTTGTCTCCGAGATGTGTCACTGCTGGTGTCCGCCCTTTTCCACTGGCGATGCAACATTTCTATTCATTCCCCAAGCAGTTTGCCGTTACGTAGGGTTCTTTCTTAAGATGTGTCGCCCTTTCTGTCACTGCTGGTGTCCGCCCATTTGTGCTGGCCATGCAGCATTCAATTCGTTTGTCTTTAGAATGATTTCTTTACTTTTGTCTCCCAGGTTCGGTGCCTGCACTGCTTGTGTCCGCCCTTTTCCGCTGGCCATGCAGCATTTCTATTAGTTTGTTTCCCATGTGGTTTGTTTACTTTTGTTTTCCAGGTTCGGTGCCTGCACTGCTGGCATCCGCCCTTTTCCCCTTTCCAGCATTTCTATTCATTTGTCTCCCAGGTGATTTCTGTACTTCCCCAAAAAGGCTACCGTTAGGGGTTCTAAATGCTTTCTAAGAGTGTCCACCTTGCTGCCGGACAGCGTGTCCGCCTTCCGTCCGGCTCACTGTGTCCCTGGTCTGCCTTTTGTTTCCCTTGCTCTCCCTTGTTGTTGGTCACGGTGTCCCCCTTCTTGTTGGTCACTGTGTCTGCCTGTTCCCCCTTCTGTTTCCTTTTGTCTCCCTTCTTGTCTCCCTTCTTGTTGGTCCCTTCCTGTGGGTCATTGTGTCCGTCTTGTCTCCCTTCTGTTTCCTTTTGTTTCCTTTTGTTTCCCTTCTTGTCTCCCTTCTTGTTCACCATTGTGTCCGTCTTGTCTCCCTTCTTGTCTCCTTTTTGTCTCCCTCTTGTTGGTCATTGTGTCCGCCTCGTCCCTTCTGCCTCCCTTTGTCTCCGGTCTTGTCTCCCTTCTTGTGGGCACTGTGCCTTCTGTTTCCTTTTGTCTCCCTTCTTGTTTCCCTTTTTGTTGGTCATTGTGTCCGTCCGCCTTCTTGTCTCCCTTCATTGTGTCCGCATGTCTCCCTTTGCCTCCAGTCTTGTCTCCCTTCTGTTTCCTTTTGTCTCCCTCCTTGTTGGTCATTGTGTCCGCCTTGTCTTCCTTCTGTTTCTTTTTGTTTCTGGTCCTGTCCCCCTTGTTGTTGGTCACTGTGTCCGTCTTGTCTCCCTTCTGTTTCCTTTTGTCTCCCTTCTTGTTGGTCCTTGTGTCCACCTTGTCTCCCTTCTTGTCTCCCTTTGTCTCCGGTCTTGTCTCCCTTCTTGTTGGTCATTGTGTCAGTCTTGTCTCCGTTCTGTTTCCTTTCTTCTCCCTTCTTGTCTCCCTTCTTGTTGGTCATTGTGTCCGCCTTGTCTCCCTTCTGTCTCCCTTTGTCTCCGGTCTTGTCTCCCTTCTTGTTGCGCACTGTGTCCGTCTTGTCTCTCTTCTGTTTCCTTTTGTCTCCCTTCTTGTCTCCCTTGTTGTCCCCCTTCTTGTTGTGTCCGCCTTGTCTTCCTTCTTTCCTTTACATTTACCTCCTCTCTCCCCCTCTCGCTTGCAACCCCTCACATTTGTCTCCCAGCTGCTCTCCCCTGCAATATTACATTTGTCTCCCATCTGGGCTGCGTGTCGCTTGCAATCCTTTACATCATTGTCATTTGTCTCCCTGTGTCTACATGTGTCTCCCAGCTCTGGACTGCTGTGTCCGCCTCTGCCTTGCAATCCTCTACATTTGTCTCCCAGCTCTGGGCTGCTGTGTCCGCCTCTGCCTTGCAATCCTTTACATTTGTCTCGCAGCGCTGGGCTGCTGTGTCCCCTCTGCCTTGCAATCCTTAATTTTACATTTGTCTCCCAGCTCTGACTGCTGTGTTTTTTCGCCTTTTGCCTTGCAATCCTTTACATGTGTCCTCGCAAGCCTTTGCATTTGTCTCCCAGCTCTAGACTGCTGTTTCCGCCTCTGCCTGGCAATCCTTTATTTGTCACCCAGCTCTGGGCTGCATGTCGCTTGCAATCCTTTACAGTTGTCTCCCTGTGTCTACATTTGTCTCCCAGCTCTGGACTGCTGTGGCCGCCTCTGCCTTGCAATCCTTTGTCTCCCAGCTCTGGACGTCGCAAGCTCTAGTTGCAGAGTGTTCCGATATTGAAAAACACAAACTGTTTGGGGTCTACGGTGGTGTCATTGTACAGAGACCTGAGATGATGCTACTTCTGTTTGTGAGAGTAGGGGTGTGGTTTGCTGAGGCAGAGGGCGTCTGCAGAGGTTCGCATACAGGTTTTGCGCAGCTTCAAGCCCCCTCGAGAGGGTGAACCAGACTATTCTGCTTTGCTGATCAGCTTTGCCAAGAAAGTGAAGGATCAAAGCCAACACAGCCGGATGACACCACACATTCCAACCCCGGGTCCGAATCCAGTACCTCAATGGCCTGTGCAACCGCCACGGGTGCAGCACACTCAGCCTATTCCGGTCTATGCCCATGAGCTACCGCGTCCACCACGACCGACTTTAGGAGGCAATGCCAACAACTACGCGCTCGATGGTTTCCGGCAGAAATATCCAATGGATGATCGTGCCTTTGACTTTCTGAAGAATGCACCACCCAATGTTCAAGCAGAGGTGCTGGAAAGGTTTTCACCGCAAAGACAAGACACGGATTATTCTGCGCTGATCATATCCTTTGCAAAGAAGTGCCGTGAAGTCCCACGGCCCCCAATGCCGGCTTCAAAGAGGCCTCGTATGTTTTGATCCAGGTAGCTTAGCCATGCTTAGTCTATACATATTTTCATAGGTGTGTCACTGCTTTGCCTGGCTAATATGCTGCTGGAGACCATCGATGTGTGGCGGTATAAGTCCGTTCCTGTGGAACGCGCGAAGGCTCTGAGTAATGATGCAAAAAGGATCAAAAAGGTGTGTAATGATGCAAATGGCCAAGTGGCAACTTGCAGCCCAAAGGCCAAGTTCTAAATCACAGTGGTAGATCTAAAAAGGCAGGTGGCCCTTCCCAATGATGATAATTGACTCTGCTGTGCAGCGCTGCCACATGATCTCAATAAGCCTACACCGTGACAGTGTGGGAGTGAAATCGCACACCCAACAGCAACATTGCAGACCATTGATGATACGTCAGCATGCATAAGCCACTGAGAGTTTTAGAGTAAACACTACACTTCTCCCCAACAAGGGAGATCTTGCAATGGCCTCAGAATGGAAGCTTCCACTCAGAGCATTGCTGCCGACTCAATTTCAGACCTGTGTCTCTCGGAGAGTATTTATCAGAGGGTCATATTGACATACCAACACCGTTTTATCAGTCGGTTATGCTGAGGTTTGAGAGATGAGATTCTGGGAGCCGGAGGTTGGTCTGTAGTCTACAAGGGTGATTTTTGTGGGCACGAAGTCGCGGTGAAGACCTTCAATTCACAAGTACGACGGGATGTCGAGGAGCGGGTTCAGCGGCATCGTTTCCTCAAGGAGGTGAAGGCCTTGAAAGCTCTTGGGCAACGGGAAATCCAGCTGTCTCAGCCTGACATGACTGACGCGCAGAAATTTATTGTCAATTTGCTGGCCTACTCAAACTCTGGTGGAGTTCCTGGTCCAGCACCAAATGGTCATTTCTACACAATCCTTGAATTAGGCCACAGCAGATTAGACCAATGGCTGCGAAGACCAAGATCTGACCAAACAGCACGACGAACTGACAGCCACCAGATGTGGCATTTCGATTTTTGCGACATTGCGCGATCGGTGTTTGCTGCCTTGCATTGCCTTCATGTGCGGGGTTTGGTGCACTTGGATGTCAAGCCGCAAAACATCATGCGCTTCGGCCACCAATGGAAGCTGATAGATTTGGAGAGTTGCATGTCCCTGGCTGATGGCAGTGTGTCAATTGCAGACATCACCCCACTGTATGCAAGCCCAGAACTTGCACAAGCTGTGTTGTGCAGAGCAGACCCCACAGCCACTGGTCTTGTGCCGCCCCATCCAACAATGGACATTTGGGCGGCTGGAGTTGCTCTTCTGAATTACTGTAAGTCGTATTTGAACAGAACATCAAGAGTCAAGAGTTTTTGCTTTACACTACAGCGTTGGGTCTGGGATTGCCCCTTTTTGCTGGACCCTTCCTCGGAAAACAACGTGGGCTGATACCTCAATTCCAACATGGGTGTCCATGGCACAAACCGCAAAAAGGCCTTGAATGGACTCTATTGCATGGTAGGATGTGCAAGGCTGAACCATTGAGCTTCCAACACGCATGTCGAGCTGGGAATGAAGCTGCGACATGGGCCCCGCACCCGGACACCCATTCTTTGAAGGGATATTCTTCGATTCTTTCTTCATTCATTTCGTATGGCGCCAAAGGGATAAGGTTAGACTCCTGGGAGGCATGACAGGCATGCAGGCCGGGATTCTTACGAAAGACCTGCTAGAGTGGATAGACAACTCCAGTAAGTCTCCATGGCGTGGAAGAAATCGAAGAAAGAGGATGGAAAGGGACTTGAACCCTTCTAATGTTAAGAGATTTGGTAAGGACTTCCTTCTTTGTTGCATCTCAGATCCCCAAACAGTTCTTGCTTTTTTGATCTTTTTTGTTCTTTAGCGATTGGTGGAAAGCAGCTGACTAAGCTGGCAAGTGACTCGTGACCTCGAAGCATCTTAGAACACGATGTGTGCATTCTTGCACAACAAAATTGAATTCTTGCATTCTTGGTTCACCGAGCTTTTTACAAAATCTGTGGTTCTTCAATGCTTGGTGACCTCGCCACGCTGCAAGCAAGATCAGAGCGAATCATGGCCGAGCACACTTGCCTATCCCCAACACACACTTGCCAAATGAGAGTGTGCCCGTCGGGAGCACTTCACCAGCCAGCCAGACCCAGTTGTGGTTGAGCAATGTTGAAGCAAGCAAAAAGTAGGGCAAAGCGGATGTTCTCAGTATCCTCGCTTCTCGTGGTTGGATTTTTTTCGCACCAGCGATCCTTGCCATGCGTGACTAAGAAATGACCTGTTGGGGTCCATGTCGCTTTTGCTCCTAGTAGCTTCTTGTTCCTAGTAGGAAGGCCGAGCCCCTAGTAGCGTCCTTGCTTCTATTAGCGATGCCCTTTGTTCCTAGTAGCTTTTTGTTGTTTTGGTTTGAGTTGCTCAAGGTTGTTCTGTTGGATGTCCTTGCGGAAGGGTGCTGCTTCGATGAGATGAAGGTGCCGTGTTTGTGGGAGGGCTTTTGGACAGAGCAGTGAGTGCAAAGTGCTGTTCTACTTTTTAAACCTGTGCTCAGCCCGTGCTCTGAACTTGGCCGACCTTGCAAGAGAGGGTCTCGAAATGTTGCGAGGCGTCTCTTGATTTGGCTGCCTTGTTTGAAGAAGAGGCCGTTTTGAATGAGGGATGGTTCCGCAACCTGATGGCAAGCTCGGCGGGGGTTATGGCATATGTGGCATTATATCTGTGGCATTAAACAGATATAGTAACTTATATAATTGCAGAAGTTTGGTGTCTCAGTCTCATTGCCAGTTGCAAGTCATCGTCCTGCTCAGGATGGCTTTCCTCATCAGAACCTTTGGATCTTCACAGCCTATTTGCTGCTACCCCTGGAGCCTGCAAGCTGGACCATCAGCTTGAGCTCTTCCTGGACCCGATCCTGACAAAGGATTGACAAACACTACCGAATGCTTTGGACGCAGTTCCTGTCCAAAGTTGCCTCGGCCATTGCTCTGATTTCGTGATGACCAGTTTCAGGAGCCTGGACTTCGGGCATCTGCTTTGCAGCTGCGAGATCACCAGCCCTTTGGAGTTGTACTGACACATGTGCGAGTGAGTTTCTCCGGTGCTGACCTTGGACAGCCCTCAGGTTCTTGAATGTGCACCGTCAAGGTCGGCATCAAGTGGAGAAGGTGTTTAGCAGCTTGCAAGCAGTCAGCCCGGCTCCGTTTCACATTTCTTTCAGGGGAGTTCACCTGCAGCTTGGCGGTCACAATGGTGCACGGTTTGAGACTGTGGGATCAAAACATCTGGGTCACAGGTTACCTTTTGTAAACTCAGAGGTCTCAGACATTCTGGTTGCGTCACTAGCGCCAGATGACCTGGTGTGCGGTGAAGGAATGAGCAGATGTAGTCTTGCCTCAAACCAAAACCCATGGTGGTGGGAGCTGGAAGTTTAAGTTGGAATGTACTCCAGGAGGATGCAGAGACAAAGAGGATTTTATGCTGTCGTTTGACATGCTTGTGGATGTGGCCTGGCTGTCATGTGGACGCGTCATTACATGTGAGCTGATTGCCTTTCATCCTACTTAGCAAGTTGAAGTCTTGCTTCAAGAGACGAGCCGAGAGTCAGGTACTGGTCTACATTGGTGTGGCGGAGAAGGCTCTTTACTGTGCTTGTTTGATTGAGCATTTTCCTGCTTGTTTGATTGAGCATTTTCCCTGTAGCTGTCCCGTTCCTTTTTTGGGCGTGCCGCTTTTTCCATTTGGGATGTCTATTTACCAGAACAAACTTGCATTTCCACCAGCATTGAGTTACCAACCTGAAGGATGCCGACACTATTCTGGATGCAATGTGTCACCAAATGGGCAACCACCCTTTTACATTTGCATCTTTTCTCAACTTTTTGTATTTGGCATAAAGCATAAAGCTTGCTTAGCCTGTGCACGGTCAAAACGACATAATTCATACATGTGGATTGTCAAATCGGCAACTCGTGACGGACATTGAATTTATTGGATATGCATCCAATAAAGTTATATGTTGTATTACTGTAATAGTTATCTCAATCATTGAATTTTTCAAAAACATTACTGAATCTTGAACAATTACGAAAGCCAGCCGATAATCCGATAGGCCAAGCTGAAGTTAGTGCTGCGAACGAAGTTCTTTTGGGGGTGTGGCGGGGAGACAGGGAAAAAGTGACGTAAACCATGTTAGCCTGCTGGTGTTTTTACTTTTCCAAGGAGGTGATTTTTGGTGGCTTGGTGATGCAAAAGATGCAAGGTGTCGGAGGTATTGCATCACACTGGCATCATCAGTACCCGAGAGTACACATGGCTAGTCCAAAGGCAGTCTATTGACATGTGAACATGGATGGTTGAAAGAGTTATCTGACTATGTACACACTTAGATCCATGCTCGCAAGAGCTATATCAGTTTAGAACGTCCCGTGAGATAGTTACTGGTTACATTAGACCTTGACTCGCAAGAACCGCCAGGCGAAGGGTCAGAGACCTTAAGTGTTGAACATCACGCATTAGCACTTTAGGAAAGACAGGAGTCACAGCTTGTTCAACAGTTGAAAGCCGGCAAAGCTTAAAATGGTTGCAGGTACAAGATACTGCGCCCAGTATCTCACGGCTAGGTGAACTTTCGCCGTGCCCCCTGCATGACTGTACAAGGTAGGTTAAAGAAAAAAGAAGTCTTTGGAGATTGATTCATGTGGCCAAACTAGTGGGGAACAGGAGGTGGCACACGCACACACACACACATATATATATATACACACACACACACATATATATATACACCAATTTATAGAATATGGCCCGTACCAGTCGCTTGCTGAGACGAGTGCTATGATTTCCCGAGACCACTGCTTTCAATGTTAGTACCTTGTTCTGAGATTTGAACATGGCAGAAGTATGAAGACGCCGCGGGTAATGAGCCAATGACAAAAGCCAAATGCCGCGGCTCATGAACCAATAGCAAAAGCCAAATGCTGGCAATAATGGGGGCAGCAATCCAAGTAGAAAACCCAGAAGGAAGA